AAACGTTAACTCTGTTTTCTCCTCCACAGATGCTGCCAGACCTGCTGAGCTTTTCCAGCAACTTTGTTTTTGTTCCTGATTTACAGCATCCGCAGTTCTTTTGGTTTCTATAGAAGCAGGGATGTTGTTTCCACTGGCGAGTGAAACTAGAACTAGGGAGCATAGCCTCAAAATAATGGGGAGCAGATTTAGGGCTGAGTTCAGGAGGAACTTCTTCACCCAAAGGGTTGCGAATCTGTGAAATTCCCTGCCCAGTTCAGGCTCCCTCATTGAATGTATTTAAGGCAAAGATCGATAGATCTTTGAACAGTAAGGGAATTAAGGGTTGTGGTGAGTGGGTGGGTAAGTGGAGCTGAGTCCATGAAAAGATCACCCATGATCTTATTGAATGGCAGAGTGGGCTCGAGGGGCACTCCTGCTCCTGGTTCTCATGTCATGTAGATTTAGTGTACTTTGGCGGTCCAGGCTGAATGGGCCGAACAGCCTCTCCTGTAATTGTATGATTCTACGATCATATGATACAGGATTCCCACCCCACCCTGCAATGATGCATTGAAAGCAGAAAATTTATGATGTTGTTTGAGTGTTGAAGATTGATCAGGCCATGAAGATTAAATGGTGTCATTAGATCTTTCGTATCCAGCGGAGAAAGAGGTCATCGCTTTGATTAGATTTGGATTTTTTTTTAAAGATTTAGAGTTAGGTTTTATTGTCACATATATTCAAGTACAGGTGAAAGAATACAGTGAAATGTACGCAATGTTATCACACATGGTGCCATCTTAGGTACAGTGTGACTTCAACCACGCAGACTCAAGCAGGTATTGCCAAGATATCCCCAATACATCTCCTGCCCCGCCAGAGGAACCGAACACCCTGGGCCGCTGCTACACAACCATCGAAGACGCCTCCAGCTCAATCCCCTGCCTGCACTTTGGAAAATCTGACCGCAGTGCTGCGTTCCTCCTCCTCCCAGCGTTCAGGCAGAAGCTGAAACGGGAGAATCCTTCACGATATGGAAGTGCAGTGCTGGTCCGAGGCAGCGGGAGACTGTCTCTGGGGCTGCTTGGACTCAGTGGACTGGACCGTGTTCAAGTGTTCAGTGGAAAACGTAGACGGGTTGCTACCCCCATCACGGACTTTATTAGCAAATATGTGGGGGACTGTGTACCAGAAAAGTCAATCCGAGCGTTCCCCTACAGGAAATCCACTGCCTGCTGAAGACCAGATGGGCAGCATTCATGTCCAGTGAGCCAGACCAATACAGAAAATCCAGTTATCACCTCCGCAAAGCCATCAGGGAGATCAAGAGCCAGTAGGCCCAGACCTACCAAACAGTCTCCTGCTGGCTATGGCAAGGCTTAAACGACATTATGGGATATAAAATGAAACAGTGTAAGATATCGGACAATGACATATCCCTCCCTGATGTGCTCAATGCTTTCTATGCTCGGTTTGAGCAGAATACCATTGGCGTTGCAACACCCGCCCTGAAAGCCCCAGACACACCTCTTTCCTCTGTCACTGCTTCAGAAATCAGATCGGTCTTCCTGGGAGCCAACCCAAGGAAAGTGATGGGCCCAGACAATGGCCCCGGCCGAACACTCGGATCCTGTGCAGACCAACTGGTGGAGGTGTTTATTGAAATCTTCAACCTCTCCCTCCCATAAGCCGAAGTCCCCACCTGCTTCAAGAAGACCACCATCAACCCCGTACCCATGAAAACACATGCAATGTGCCTTAATCACAACTACCCAGTGGCTCTGACTTCAGTAATCATGAAGTGCTTCGAGGGGCTGGTCATGGCTCACATCAACTCCAGTCTCCCAACTTACCTCAATCCCCTACAATTTGCTTCCCGACGTAACAGATCCACAGAGGGTGCCATATCTCTAGCCCTGCACACATCCCTGGAACATCTGGATAACAAAGATACCTATGTCAGATTTCTGCTCATTGACTATGGGTCCACCTTCAGCACCAGATTCCCCTCCAGACTGATCTCCAAACTGCGTGACCTTGGTCTCAGCTCCACTCTCTGCAACTGGATTCTCAGCTTTCTGACCCACAGACCACAATCTGTGAGGATAGGTAACTGCACCCCCTCCACAATAACACTCAGTACTAGAGTCCCCCAAGGATACATCCTCAGTCCCTACTGTACTCCCTGTACACCCACGACTGCGTTGCCAAATTTTGAACGAACGCCATCTACAAGTTCGCTGATGTCACCATTGCAGTAAGATAGATATCTAACAACGACGAGTCAGACTACAGAAGGGAGATAGACGGCTTGGTGATGAGGTGCAATGAAAATAATCTCTCTCTCAACATCGGCAAAACTAAAGAACTGATCATCGACTTCAGAAAGAAAGGAGGCAAACACACCCCCATCTACATTGAGAGGATGAAGAGTGTCATGTAACTGCAACAGTCAAGAAGGCACAACAATGCAACTCAGGAAATTTCGCATGTCCATGAGGTCCCTCACCAATTGAAAGCATAACTGTCCCGGTGCATAACGGCCTGATATGGTGACTGCTCTGCCCAGGACCGTAAGAAACTACAGAAGGTGGTGTGCACAGCCCAGACCATCACAGAAGCCAACCTTCCATCCATGGGCTCCATTTACACGGCTCGCTGCTGGGGAAAGGCTGCCAACATCATCAAAGACCCATCGCACCCCGGTAATGATCTCCTGTAACCTCTTCCATCAGGTAGAAGATACAGAAACCTGAACACACGCAAAAGCAGGTTCAGGAACAGCTTCTTCCCAGCCATTATCAGGCTGTTGAATGGACTCTAGCCTCAAATAATGTAACCTGCAATGTAACCTGTATGCCTCTAAGTCTTTTTGATCTGTACATCCTTTGCTTGCTGTGAGCTGCCTGTACCGCTCGTAAACAAAGCTTTTCACTGTATTTCAGTACACGTGACACTAAAATCAAACAATCAATCAAAAATCAATCAATTGAAATAAATAAATCAGTTAAAATGTTCAGCACTACAGTCTCTTAGTCCAAAAGCCAAAATATAAAAATATAAAGTTAAAGAGTCAATTGATTTGATATTCATTCCAAAGTATAGCATTTCATCAGTTCTGTGCTGCTGCAACATGCTCCACCTGCTGTGTCCAAATTCTGGAATCATACTTGAAAAATAATCTTGCAGCTCATGGACTTCTGCCAGCATAATGTACGGAGGGGGATAACGTTGAGAGGTGAAGTGGGTGCAAGTTGTAATCCTGTCCATTCGAACTACACAGCTATCTGCAAGATAGGGAAACTGATTGCCTGTGTGTGGTAAGATTCAGTTGGAGATTATGATTCACTGATAGACCTCTCTTCTCTCGAATTCTGAAGGTTAAGGAGTGATCTGATCGAAGTCTTGAAGGTGTCAACAGGAAAAGACAGGGCAGACAAAGATCAACTGTTTCCACTTGTTCTGGATTCTAGAACCAGTGGGCATTCACTGAGAATTAAGTTCAGTGATGTTAGGAAGCACTTCTACACACACAGAGGGTGGTAGAGGTTTGGAACTCTAATCCAGTGGATACTGGATCCATTGTTAGGTTTTAAAGCTGTGATAGACTATTTTTGTTAAATGAAGGCATGAAGGGATATGGGGCAAAAGAAGGTATATGGACTTAGGCCACAAATCAGCCATTGTTTCATTGAATGGTGGGATAGGTTGGAGGGGCTGATTGGTCTGTTCCTTTGAATTGACTATATTTGGAGTACTGTGCACAGTATTAATGGACGTACCACTCTTGGAGGCAGTTCAACGAAAGCTTAACAAACTTATACCTGGAATGGGTGTGTGTTTTCACGAGGAATGTTTGACAAGTTTAATCTATAAGAGGGGAATCCTGAGAGGTTTTGACAGGATGGATGTGGAGAGGATGCTTCCCGCTTGACATAGAGGGGCTGTGTCTTGAAAGAAAACTCAACAAAATGGAAATAAGAGAGAAGGACTACTTCAAGCCATAGTCAGAAAGTTTCGTACCGTTCAGAGTGTATCTCTTGGTGTGGTCACTGCAGTAAGGCAGAGAGGGAAGTTAGGAAGGTGTGCATAGCAAGCACAAGAGTAGCCACATTACTGTGAATCGAATTGAATTGAGTTGAAGTAGCTTTATTGTCACATTTTCTGAAATGAATAAAGTTTATATGTCACCACTTACAGCTCCGTCTTAGGTACAAAGGTACCTGGGTACAACTTCTTTAAATACAAGAACTTAGAAAATACAGAAAGAAAATTTCCATAACAGTGGTCTTCCAAACCATACCACATTGGCACCTAGCCTCCAGTCCACACTGGGTCCTGGCTCCAGACTCTGTAGGGCTTCACCTCGAGGATCATGAGGCCAGGAGATCACTCTGGTATCGCCTCAAGACCGGGGACCTCAAGGCTGAGGCTTTGCCAGGCTGAGAGCCCTCCACACCAGGCCAGGAGGCCACCAAGGGAGGCCCCTCATTGTATCTGCGCTGAGGCCAGGGGTCGTCTGAGGCCAGGAGCCGAAAGAAGAAGAGAAGGAGAAAACACCAACAGGAAAAAAGAGAAGAAAAGGAAGACAAAGAGTGGGTAGACCCAAGGAGCTCTGGTTGAAGTGTCCTCCTCTGCCACCATCTTAGATCTACCATCTGTGATGTGGTTTGAAAACTGGACATCACCTGTTCAATCTCTGTGTAGTATTGTCAGCCATGACGTTAATGCACAAGCTCTGTAACTGAATTTGATAAAACTAACAGTGGATATCCAATGGAGAATGTGCACATCTGAGCCATGATGACAAGTTTAAAAATCCCTGAACATTTTCATCCTGGTATTGGCCAACCTGACAACTTGATGATGTCTATTAAGCCCACCCCTTGGTTTCAATTTTCTTTCAAGGTTAGCCCCTACCTTCTTGTCAAATAACAGCAACAAAACAGCTAGTGCTTTCAACTCTCACTCGCCCTGCTAAGGAGCTCAATCATACCTTACTGTGAGGTCAAAAGATTTTGGAAGATCATACCACACTGATTTTAATCTGGGGAGTGTGCACCAAAATCAGAAGGAAAAGAACATCAGAGATGGTGATAATTGTGGAATCCATAAAGTCAACGTGTTGGGTGGTTCCAACCCAAAAATGACATTCTCACCAGCGCAGCTGTCTAAATGGATCGGCTGCAGAGAGCTGTGGGGTTGAACCCTTATGTATATTCAAGGCTGAGACTTACATCCTTGACTGGTTGGCTGTTGGGAAAAAGGCAGGACAGCAGACATGAGTAATGTCACATCAACCACCATTCCATTCAATGGTGGAGCAGGCCCGAGGGGCAGAATGGCCTCTTCCCTTTCCTATTTCTTTTCATCTTATGGTTATAAACAACCTCACTCATTTGTCCATCCAATGGACCCATTAATATTTGTGTCTAACAGAGAACTTCTTCAGGATGAGCTGGACAATGATCCACATGTGATCAGTGATTAATGTTCTAGAGATAGCTTTATATCAGTTGAATAACCCATAAGTCCACCTCTAAGATGCAACTGTTGAAATCTAGCTGGCCAGCAAACATTTCACTGATTTTTACTGACTGACCTATCTCACCAGTTTGAGAGAGATCAGAATCAAAACAGTATAATCTGAAAGACAAATTCCCTTTCAGTTTTCCCAGGCATTCCCTGACCTCGTGGGTATATTCAGAATGTTCTATCCCAATATTTATTTATTTATTCAAGAAACTATTTGGCTCTCCATCTCTTCTTCGGCTTTCATTTCACCATATGTCCATCAGTCCATTTTGATGTTTGCGTCCATGTACATGTTTAAACAATTTCAATTTAGCAATACTCAATCTTTTAATTGCTCAAGAGGCAGGTTTCATCAATTCAAGGTGAGCTATTTCCCAGTCTGTTTCTTTCTTTCTTTATCCATCTATCTATCCATCTATCAACCTGTCTCTTTCTATTTCTAACTATTTGAAAAAAATCTCTGACTATCTATCTATCTCTCCATGTATCTATGTGTGTATGTGTGTATGTATCATCTATCTTTCTATCTATCTATCAATCTATCTATTGATCGATCGATCTATCTATCTAACTGAAAATAACTGTGAATATCTATCTATCTATCTATCTATCTATCTATGTATCTATCTAACTATCTGTCTGTCCATATATCTATCTATCTAACTAAAAACAACTGTGAGTATCTATCCATCTATCTATCTATCTGTCTAAATCCTCAACCACTCCTCAAATGACAAGCCCTTCATCCCAGGATCATTCTTGTAAACCTCCTCTGGACCCCTTCCATCCTTCCTTAGATATTTGGCCCGAAACCTCTCACAATATTCCAAATGCGGTCTGACCAGAGCCTTGTCGTACATCCACTTATCTCTCAGTCCCTTTCTACATCCATCTGTCTGTCAGTCCATCTGTGCATCAAATTATCTCTCAGTCTATCTCTATATCCTTCTATCTCTACATCTGTCCAATAGTCCATCTTTGCAATCTATCTACCTTTTCATCGATCCATCCATTTCATTTTCCGTTATGTAGATTCGGGCCAATGTCTGTCCTTCTACCCAGCTTTTCCTTTTAGTTGTCTTTGAGGGGTGGTAGCGCACCTTTTGAACTCACTGCCTCACAAGTGGCATAGGAACACAGGCTGTGAGACAGGCTGGTCTGAATTTTTGACAAAGCTCTAGTAGCTTATTGGGTGATACAATTCCAAGTCAGAAGGGTGAGGTAGAACTTCTGGAGTAGAACTTACTCATGTAACTGATGCCCTTATGCATCCAGAGATCACTAGTTCGTTCAGTTATATTGAGTGAGCCCTGGTGTGTGTTTAACTGCTGATAATCTTGTAGCTATCTCTTTAACAATCTGTTACAGGGGGACTACAGGGGGTGCTGTCTCATTAGTTTGACATTCCAACACAAACACCTCACATCTGATTGAATAGCTCAGCACGGATAGCTTTGTTCTGGCTCTGTTTTTGGAGCGGGAATTCAACACAGATCATTTTGACTCAGAGATTGACCTCTGAGCGATAATTACTGAGTGAAGGCAGCGTGTTGACGGTGACAATGAATATGAGTTGACATTCTTAACTGTGGGTAAGATTCTATGTGCAACTAGCCTCAGATTGGGAGGGGTTGGGAGCTGGAGCTGCATGTGAATAACTGCAGATGCTGGAATCTGTACGGAAAACAAAAAAC